ACTTGAATAGCTCGCGAATGAAATGGAACCGCACGTCGATGTGCTTGCCTCTCGCTGAGCTGAACGGGTTCTCGATTAAGGCGAGAGCCCCCTTGTTGTCCTCAAGGACCTTGATCTTCGCCCCACTCGTCTCGGGCGCTATGAACGACAGAACGCCACGCACAAACAACGCCTCCTTCACGCCCTCCCCGGCTGCCATATACTCTGCTTCCGAGGTCGACTGAGCCGTCACTGGCTGCGTCTTGGTGGATGCACACACTACGGTACCACCTACGGTCACAGCTAGCCCGGTCGTAGAACGCCTGTCTACTTCGTTGTCAGCGTTGCAGGAATCGACAAACACGCTTAGGTCTAGTCCTGACCCCCGTACGTAGGTGATACCGAAGTCCTTCGTGAAGTTCAGGTAGGACATGATCCGCACACGCGCGCTCCATATCCTCCCGGTGGGTGAGTGGGCGATCTTCTGGAGCTTGTTCAGAGGCAGGGCGATGTCTGGCCTCGTCAGCTTCGTCCACATCAGGCATCCGATCGCCTCCCTCACAGGCTTATCCACCGCGGGCTCGTCATCTCTCTTCGGCCCTAGGTCGGCATCGGTGGCAGCAGGGGTGAAAGCGGTCGTGGTCACATCAAACCGCTTCAGCATACTCTCAATGTAAGCTGTCTGGGACAGCTTGGTGATGCCATTTTCTACATCCATGGCGATAGCACACCCTTCGTACCAGGTACGCTCTCCCAGATCTTTCACCGGAAACTTCTTGTTGAGGGAAGCGAACAACTCGTCTCGCTCTCCCTCGTCTGCCGCCACTAAGATATCATCAATGTGGATCACGATGAGACCTACGACCTCTCCATCCACCACCTTCCGGAAGACATCAGGCCCTTCTCATTCGTCTTCCAAGAGAACACCCACTTTGAACCTATGGCCTTCCGCTGCTCGGGCAACTCGTTGACCTTGGTAAAGGTTCCAGTCTTGCCGTGGCCATCTACCTCTTTCTTCATGGCCGCTTCCCAGAAAACCTTGTACTTGGAACACATCACATCCTTGTACGTCATCGGTACTGCTTCCACANCCTCAACAATCCCCGTCCCGCCAGTTTCCAGGATGGTCGCCAGCAGTGCCCCTTCCGGGTCCGGTGTTTCTCCGGGCCCCGGCATCTCCCCTGCACCTTGCATCTCCCGGGTCTGCTTCCGCGTGCGGCCACTCTCAAGCCCATGGCGCAGCGGGCCAACGTTCGAGGCGCCCCAGAGGAGTTTCTTCCCTTCTAGCCCGCGGGGGTAGCGGTCGTCGGCTGGATCATACTTCAACTCCTGACAACCGGGACGTCCCGGTGGATTCCATGACAAAATCAGGACGTCTGAGCAGAGGGTACTTTGGGCGGCCGTAGAAGCGCCGATTTAGGCCAATTGTTATGGAAGAATTCCAAATTTGGAATCCTCCGCCCTGGGAAAACAAATTCCAACGCCGAAATTCCAATTTGGTATTCTGGTGCCGACCAAGTTATGGGGAAATAGGAAATAGGAATCCCGGAGCGTTGGGGGGGTAGATTACGATGCACGGAGCGGAGAATTCAAAAATGGGCGCGATCCTATGTACCGCACTNTTCTCGGAGTCGCCGGGATCACCACCGCTACCGCCGTCCCCACCTGGGTCGCCGGGCTCTTCGCCACCCGGGTCGCCGGCACCGCCGGTGTCACTGCTGCTGCTGCTCGGGCTGCTGCTGCTGCTGCTGCTGCTGTCGGTGGGGCTGTCACTGCCTCCGCCGAAGTCGTCCCTTCCCGAAGGGGGCGACGGGGGAACGCTGCCTCCGTCCCCCGG